TCAGAAACTGGCACATCGGGTCTCTAACTTCCTTGCGGCTTTCATTAGAGGCCGTCACTGTGGATTCTAGTCCACTGCCATCTTCCTTGCGCCGATCCCTCTGGTTTCCACTTGCTGTTTCTGTAGCAGGTTTTTGTTTTACTGGGTTGGGGTGCTAACCCAACGCCAAACTCCCTCTATCGAAGGAGGTACAGGTCGGAACTGCTAATTAGTACCTCCCTGGTGTCGTAAGCCCCCCGAAGGTTACAGGTCTCCCATGCACCAGACCCAGGCAGGACACCAAGTCGGAACAAGCTGCTACACCTCGGCAAGGTTACACAGTTCCTTATCCTGGTGGGGTGAGGGCCCCCAGGATCGTAGCAGCATTTGGCATTGACAAGTAATCAATTACTAGTATATCATAGTAGAATACACGAACATGTACATGTGTCATCACTCTTGGTACTGCGACAGGACCGCAAGTCGTCCCTATCCTCACTGATAGAGTCATTACCACAACTGGGACTGCCAGTAGAGATGTCTGGATCGTGCTGCTCAGAATGGAACATGGTGATTCCGGATTCCTCTCTAATACTGCTAGAGTCACTGATTCTAATGTTATCAACACTATTAATAGACTCACTTCTACGTCTGGGACTAGTGGTAGAAATGTGCTGATCGTGCTGCTCAGCTGGGCTCAACATTTTGATTCCGGTTTCGTCACTGGTGCTACTAGAGTCACTGATTCTGATGTTGTCAACACTACTAATAGAGTCACTTCTACGTCTGGGACTAGTGGTAGAAATGTGCTGAGAGTGCTGCGTAGGGCTCGACATTGTGATTCTGAGTTCCTCAAAGTTTGCAGGTTTATTACGCATTAGCTGGTCGATTATCTCCTGATGCCCCTCTGATTCTGAGAACATTCCATCAATCGTCAATGTCTTTAAAGTTCTGTTCCGCTGTATCGCCAAACATAGGTCGGACAGAGACTGTCTGCTACAGATTCCATAGCATATTGTGTATGGAATGCTTCCTTCAAGGAAGAGCCAGCTAAGCCGAAATCTTTTTAGTATTTTGCTTTTAGCTACACATTTTGTCAGCTTGTGTATCATTGCGTCGACATCAAATGATTCAAGCCTGTCGCATTGATCATCTGACATATCACAAAGCGTATTGTACACAGGATGTTCTAGCTCCACGACCTCCAGTGTTCTATGCTCAGAGATACTTTGCAGGGTTGCTGTTAGGTTACCAAACCCTTCTGCCCCTTCTGGCTCACAAACCCATTTACCTATTGTCACCTGAAGAGATCTGAGACAACTCAGCTTCAGAACCATGTAAGCCAGCTGTTTGTCATACTGTGAGAAGTCTGTGGAGTCAACGTTACACTCTATGTCGATGTTGACATGTTGTAGACTTTGTTTTTCTGACAGTTCCTCCAACATGCTTTCCACTGACAGAAACCCAGAGGCCTGGGTGGATAAGAAATCAATGTGCACACTTTCTGTCCCACGCCGAGGGATGAATGTGCGAATTGGGGAGAATGTGTGCCGCCCTGATCTAAACACCAGAGACCTGCCCAATCCTTGTCTCTTTAGTGTTACACAATTAATTGTATCACAACATGATAAAGCGTCTTCTAACGTATGAAGGGGCTGTTGCGGCAAAACATCGCATACGTCGCAGTCAATCGTAAGATGCCGTATCAAGCTTGGATCATGGTTCATTGGCCTTTGACATCTTATTACTTGTATCAAACCGTCAATCCACGCAGCTTGATCATAGTCTGAGTAATATCGAATACCCATCCGATGGTTAGTTATGTGCTGAGACAAACAAGGTGCCACAATCTCTGCCATTCTACACCCTGTTTTACCGTCTCCACAGGTTCTACCAAGAAACATGACACAGATAAACGACAAATAATCCATCTCTTCTTTACATCCATCTTTGCTTAGTTCCTCTGCAAACTTGTCAAACAAAGGGCCTGGACTGTCACCTAGTATGGCAGCCAGCATGTTTTGAACCTTGTTATATCTAAGACGGTTTGTTGACATCAGATGCATGTCAACATTACTAGCCGTAGCTTCTGTCATCCCAAACAAACTACGAAGACATTCTCTACCTTCTTCTCGTTTGCTTTCCTGTTTGACCAACTCACTGATGTAGTAGGCCGCCAAGTATTCCTGAAACGTTTTATGTAAAAAGGCACAGAAGCAGGTGCGGTTGATTCTAGAGAAAGAATTGTCTCTTGTTAATAAACCAATGTCTAACATGTCATCGGCATTTGCTCCATACTTCTCTCTGATATCGGCTATGTTAAACTGGAGCTGATCCTGCTCAAGTCCCTCCCAGGACAGTTTCCCCAGACCTCGTAATGTTTCTTCTATGTTTGACGGAATTACATCACCTTCTAACGGGATGTCTTTCTTAGCACAGTATCGCTTTGCAACTGAATATACGATCATTTGATACAGCTCAGCCTGGCTGGAAGGTAATCTTCCATCATTGTCTTCCCAAACAATACATATCAGCACATTGTTGAGGGGATTAACAACTATTCTCGACAAATTTCGGTTACGCCTGAGCTGTGTCTCTAGCTTCTTGGCAGATTCTGGGTTGTGACTGAAGTATTTCTGTATGAATTCAACAGAATCATCTTCGCTGTAACCGATGATTTTGTAAAACTCATGACATTTCTCCAGGTCTTTGACACAGTGGTATGGCCTGGAGGTCACCAGAACATGACAGTTTCGGAGGATTTTACCCTTAATCAAGGCTTCCACATCTGTGTTCTCTCTAGCTGTATGACTGAGCTCATCTAGACCGTCCAGGATGAAGAGAACATCATCCTGATTCTCTTGAATGTAGGACCAGAGCTGGTCCGGGGTCATGTTTGTATCCTCAGGTAGAAGCTGCTCAAATATGGCGTCTTTAACTTTCCCAGACATGTGCCGAATTTCTAGAAAGAAAACAGCCTTGAAAATATCCAATTTCCCAGAGGACCAATCATGAGCCAGTTTCTGACAAGAGCACGATTTCCCAATACCAGGATCCCCCTCTACCCTTATTCTTCTAACATCTGATCCCGCATCAACAGTCTTAGCTTTAGCTTTACTTGTCTTGAAAATATCTGCTAAGCTTACGATGGTGTCTGTGTCCTGGAAGCGCCCCCTGCCACCCTTACGCTGATGCCGCAGGTTGGTGTAGATTTCTTCCAAAGGCAGGTCGAAATCTTCGCACCACGGAAGAGGCCGCACATGGGCATGTTCCCTGGCATAGTGTTTTTTCAGACAGGTGATGACTTCCCCAATAGTGCACGACGGTCCTGAAACATGACATGGAATGTACTTGATGATCTTGTTTCGTCCTTTTGTTTGTAGATGGTTCAGTAGAATAAAAGATTGATATCTGTGTATGTCGTGACATGGGTAATATCTCGTTCATTCAGTTGATATTTCGAAGTAAACTCTATCATTGTATGTTTCCAAAACATCGCCACTCCAATTCCGATGGCAAATATGCTGACCAGGGTATCATAGCATAGTGTACATTTGTATCATAGCTAACAGTGAAATAAACCCATTTTAACTCGCCTATCTAGTTTTGTACGACTTGCATGGCAACATCAAATGTTTTTTTTTAACCCAGCGCCATGGTATGTTTATAAGATTAAGGCCCATTTGTGTGGAGTTTGTGTGTTGCAGCAAACGTTCTGAAAGATGAATAGTTAACGTACCTCCTGTTTTTTCCCTTTTCGCTACGTCCTCGGCTTCCTGTGCCAACTTTGTCTTACCGAGGGCTTTCAGAAGGTCCACTAGCAGCGCTAGGTTCCCTTGACCGATCTTATTGTCTGCCTCTAGCATGTTAAAGATCTCTAGAGGCGTCGCAGTTTCCACCCTTTTCTGTCCAATGTTCCCGTCAGTAACCAGGGTGGCTTTCAGGGTTCTGACGTCATCCTCGCGCAGGTTGTCGTTGATCTTCAGGTACAGCCTGGCGCGGAGCGAGAGTTCGGCCATGGTCGGGCCTCAACTCACCTGTATTAAAAATGGCGGACATGACGAGATCAAAGTCACAAAATAAGAAACTCAAATTCACAATTTTAACATTTACAAGAATCTTTGAAGCAATGGCAGACCTGGGTGGGCGTTTTGGACTTTGGACCCTATCCGTTCAAAATGGCGCAACCGAACCTGTTCCCTGCATCAATTTGAAAAGAGTCGACCACTATATACGCCATAAACACTTAATTAGTACGTATTTATGAACGTTTGTCACACTCTACAGTGCGAAACCACGGATCAAATAAACTCACCCCACTACTAGGCGGCTAGTTGGGACTGACCATAAAGTTGAGAGGAACAAGTTCCCTGCGTCAACGTCGGTGTTAAAATGGCGACTGACGTCTTCGGATAGATACGGCATGGAAATTGCACCCCGCAAAAGAGTCACGTGATTCCCCTGGAGGGAGGGGGCTTTTCGTTTGTCGATTTTGAGTTTAGCAAAGAGAAAATCTTTTAAAACAATCTTTACTTCACGTGCCGATAAATTTGTCCCGGCAGTCCAAGCTAAAATCTTAGTCATCTTGGGCATTTCCAGTATAAATAAAGGGTATTGATTGATTGATTGATAGTCCTTCGTCTGTGCCGCCCAAAATAAAAGTTTGAAACGGTGAGTAGTTCTTTTGGCCTAGTTTCCACCCTCTGAGCCAATCAGCTCCAAGATACGCGCATGCTGACGTAGCGAAACCAAGGGTAGGTCTTAGCCTCCCCATCAGGCTCCGGGAGGCACTCTAGTGTGGTCTGTTTTGTTTGCTTTTCTTGCTTGTTCTTCTTAATGATGGCTTGTTCTGAAGACTACTGCTGAGTTCTGAAGACTGCAGTGTTATAAGCATTCGTCCGCTAGAACGTTTGCAGAAAAATTTGGGTCAATATTTTGATTCTGTTCGAAGCCTGGTGGCTACGGAGGCTCTCACACTCCCACACGATCCTCTTCGATGCCTGCTACAGAGTCTATGATGCGCTCACACGATGCAGGGAATAAAAGGTTCACTTCCCTTTACTGTTGTGGCATTCTGAGCTGAGAGAAGGAGTGGCACAAGAACGTTCTACTATCAAACATGAAGCCGGCGACAAATGGCCAAGACGGTTCACCCAACGGCGGCGGCGCCAGGGGAGCTTTCTCCTGTAGTCCCCGAGGCCGTGGAGGTAACCGTGGGCGCGGAGGGAGAGGGAGGGGCTTCAGGGGGCCTAGCCCGTCTCCGGACCCCGCTGGCCGCGGAGGAAGGGGAGGAGCTCGTGGGGGTCGCGGAATGGACCGAGGACGAGGACGGGGAGGGTTTTATAGCCCGCAGCAGGTGCCTCCACCTGCGAGCGGTCCGATGGTCGCAAATGAGGCAAAATTCTCCATGAACGATGTCATGCAGCTAATGCAGGCTATGCACATGGGTGCTGCCCCGCAAATGCCTCAAGCACAACCTGAGGCGGCTATGGTACATCCACAGGCCCCACCGCCGAGCGGAGGCGCCCGCTCTCGGCCACGGTCGCGCCAGAGGACCGCTCACAACGACAACCCTCCACCCGTCCCCGCGAAACTTCCCCAAGCCTGTACCTGGTACAATAACCGCCAAAGGGGCTGTACCAAGGGAGACGCCTGCACCTTTCTCCACGTCTGCGGCCGCTACCTCGTCGGCGGCTGTATCTTCGACAAGGGCCAGTGCGAGTTTTCCCACAACATTCTGACACAACAGAACAAGGGCATCCTGCAGAAGTTCGGAATCCCCTGCAACTCCGAGAAGGCCGTCATCGACATCTTCAAGAGAGATTTCGTCAACAAGAGGAAGGCAGAACAAGGAGACAAAGTCCCCGAGAAGTTAGACGAAATCTGTATATTCAACATCCGTCAAAGGTGGGCTACGGTATGAGGTTAGGCTGTAAATAAAGTTCAATAAATCCCGGCATTTATATATAAGGTATCCTACCGGGTGTGTATATAAGCTGTGTCATAGCTGATCTACATTCAATTCCTTTAAAACAATTTTAAAGTATTTGTGAAAGAAAGAGGCTTCTTCGTCGACCTTCAGAGTTTACGACGTCCTATATTTGTCTGCTGTAACGTTAGTGATATTTTCGTAGTGGTCTTGGCCTAAAGCCTTTGATTCAAACTTACAAGGCTAATTGGACGTTTTGTTTTGTAGAATAGCCCTTGCATGTTACGAATTGTTTAATAGAAGAAAGTGAAACAAGTTTATGTCGCTCGAGCGAAACGTTTCGCCTTGTGGACACCGGATATTACCTAATGTAGTTCCACTTTCGGTGGCCGGTGGGCGAGCCCGCGCATACGTAACATGTACATGTTTACTTATCCCAACACAGTATACGTGTTTGTTTACCGTGGCACAGGTGTTCCTACAAGACCCTGTGTGAGAGGTGGCACTGCCGCATGCCGTACCAGTGGCAGTACCGCGCCCCTGCAGCCGACAGGTGGCGCCATTTTGGACATGACCTTAACGTCATGGTGGAGGAGGCCTACTGCAAGGTCACAGAGGACAGCTACTCACCTGTGCGACTGGACGGGTGAGGTTTGATTGAGTGATTGACTTTTTTTATTCCAACATGTGATCACATCATTTAATAGCTGGTGTGTTACGCCGAAAGGCGCTTATACCGGCAATACAGATACAGATACAAAATGTGGTGGGGCACACTCAAAGTTTTTTCAACTAGTATATCAATATCTTATATAAATGAATTAATGCCGCCACCAACACATGGGACAATACAATACTCATTTTCACCTGATATATGAGTGAAGCGAGGAAAGTCGTGTTAAGTGCCTTTCCCAATGCCAGGGCACAAGATCGGTGGCATGACAGGACTCGAACCGGAGACCTCTTGGTTTCGAGTCGAGCCGTTACCCCACGCAACCCCTAGATTGATTGATTGTATGACTACAAAGACTGCACCGCAGACTTGTTTGTGTTGAAATGCATTTCTATGGTGTTCTCAGAAACTCCATCGCTTAGTCGAGGTTTCGGTGTGCTACACGAGGTGCAAAAAACTCTGACGCTGCAAAGTTTCGATGACCTAATCAAATATACAAAGAAAACCATTTCTTGTGCATAAAAATGTCTTTTTAGGGATAACTCGTAGAAAATAGCCGGTAGCAACGTTTTCTTACCTCAACGATTTTGAGTAAATCACTGGTAATGTTAATTTACAGAAAAACCTGTGCGGTGAACTTCACCGACATGAAGGCTGTGGCGACGGACGGCAGTACCGGTGACACTCGCCAGGAGTTCGAGGTGCGTCGGCTCTCCACGTCCTCCTCGGTGAAGTCTGCCCCGGGCCACCTGTTCGTGACGGAGTGGCTGTGGTACTGGCACGACGTGGACGGGACATGGGTGGAGTACGGACAAATGGTGAGACTGAGTCAGTTTTATCTTGAAGCTTAAGCGGAGACCTATAACGGAATAGGAAATTCTTTAAGTCGAGTAACGTTATACATGATACTTTTGATAATAGCACGTCAAGAATAGAATAACTATCTCCTGGTATACGGAGGTATTGATTTAGGTGGTATGTTTGTTGTGTATTTGCTTGCATTTGCTCCCTGGTTTCTTGTTCAGCCTATTTCGACCATCCAAAACTGTTGCTGGCATAAATTTTCCTGTTCATAGAACAAAAGCGGAGAGGTTCGCGGCACGAGCAGCCTGACCAGTCGGGACATCGAGGACAGGTACCAGGACCAACGGGACGCTGACGTCACCTTCTCCACCAGCCATCACCAGTACGTTCTGCGCCTGCGCGACATGTGCCAGGAAAACACCAGGGTCGGGACCCGCCGTGACGTCAGACGTCGGCCCAAGTTTGTGTCTGAGGAGGATGTGAAAAATCCACCCAAGTAAGTACATCTTTTTAAACAAAGTGGCAATTTTATTACTGTGTTCGTCTCTCTCTCTCTCGCTGTCTCTCCCCCTCTTTATTTCCTATTCCCTAGCTCCTCTTTTCTGTCCCTCCCCTCCTAAGCAATGTAAAATCGTACTTCTAAACAACTCGACGCGTTCGCTATCCATAGACCAAAGCCTGCAAGTCGCGCAAAATCCGCCAGAAGTGCCTCAGCGTGGGACGAATCCGCCCCGGCTCACTGGTCGCCGATGTCCGATGACGACGAGTTCGTCAAAGTGGACGTGGTGGGAACCTCGGCGGAGTACAGGAACGTCAAGACGCTGTTTGAACAGGGCGGGATGGCGGGAACAGCCATCGCAGGTGTCAAACGTGTCCAGAACGCCTTCCTCTGGAGTGCTTATAACAGGTGAGCTTTCCCCCAAGAAAAATAGCGTGGTCTGCCTTGAAAACTACACAGAATGTTGACTATGTCTGACAAAATATCATTGTTACCAGAAAATATAACAACGATGGCCGCTTAAAATGTCATTTATGGTATCATGTTACCACTGACCATGGACAGGGCGATATGCCATGGTCCATGGAAAGGTTTAAAAGTGAGGACTTCGTGAACCTCTGTTACTTAGCTTCTGTACACTTGAAGAAGCTGACAGGTCGAAACCAGTTTTGACAGGCTCATGAGTTCTAAATGGGAACTATGCAGCTCCAGATACCTAACTGAGGGACGACTGTTGTGTGATAGATGTCGATCAGCTTGAGGAATGAATCATATCGATTTTGTACTATACTACAAACCATGGACGCTTACCTTCACAGGAAGAAAGCCCAGCTGAAGAAACAGAACGGCGGGAAGGATGCAGAAGAGCGGCTCCTGTTCCACGGGACTCAGGATGCCGTGGTGGACGCCATCTGCCAGCAGAACTTCGACTGGCGTCTCAGCGGCTCGCGAGTCGGGCAGCTGTACGGCCAGGGCACCTACTTCTCCGCCAGCGCTCAGTATTCGCACAGCTACGCCCAGCAGGCCTCAAACGGCCGTCGGTACATGTTCGTGGTGAGGGTCCTGGTCGGGGCTTACACGCAAGGGGATGCGGGCATCCGACGCCCTCCCCCCGTCAACCCTGGCGAGCCGTACGGTAGGATGTACGACTCCTGTGTTAACGACACGGCAAACCCCAACATTTTTGTCATCTTTGACAACGCCCAGTGCTATCCAGAGCACATCATTGAGTACTAAGTCTAGTAAGCCGAAGGTTTGTCGATAATTAAGAAGGGAAACGCTATTGGGCGTAAAAAAAACTCTAAAAGGAAAAACATGAGTTGAGCCATTGGCATTGACCAAACCAAATGAGAGAAAGATGAACTTTGCACGTCGCTCCGAGGAAAAGTTTCAAAAGAAATGATAAATGTTGCGTTGCGTGCATAATGTGAATATCCATTAAAGCCTACCGTAATGTATCTGCATTAATCTTTGCCAAAAAATAAATAAATCCCCGCAATGACTGTTGGATATTTGTATGAAATGTTTTGTGTGTTTCAGCTAAATGGGTAAGGGATATTGACAGGAATATATAATCACGCTAATGTATGATTTGTATAGTACGCGTATACAGTGTTTATACGTATATGCTACCTTTCCTTTATACCTGCTGCCTTTTAGTGCAGAGGGAATATACTAGCTAGATTACGACTTGCACGCTAAACCTCGAAAGTTCATTTATGAATGTCTAGTACGCAATCGAAAACATTTCAGCTGATTCCTCTACGTGATACCAGGTAAGACTAGTGTGGACCTGGCTTCTGGACAGTACCGCATCTCTGATTGGTCAGTTCAATAATGTCCAAACAATGCATGGATGTAACAAAGGCTCCGATTGGACAATCTGGGTTCCATTGTCAAGTAATAATGGAACGTCATCAATGTGATCAGAAATGGTGCCTACCGGTGGCGTAGTGAGAAAATCGCCTCTCCAAGAACGACGGGTTTGCGTCAGTTTCCTAGGTAAGACAGTTCTCGGCAAAGGTAAGAATTTGAAGTTTAAGAAGCTATGCTGTTCATGCTGTTCGGCATTGCGACTCAGAAACGAAAGACTCGAACTGAAACCTGTTGAATCATCGACATGGGTTGGCGCGAGGTGTTGAGGGCCAGAAAGCAGTGTAAGTACAATAGTGTTATGATCATATTCTCACAGCACCAGATCTGTGGCGATTTCACAAACATAGTCGAATTTTTATTCTCCTAGCTTAACATAACTTTTGATGATACGTGGTAACCTTTTGTTGGATATTTGTATTGTCGCAAGCATGACGTTAGCCATCATTCAGTAAAAAGGTCATAACTTATGATATTAATAATCTCTCGTAGAGGTTTCTAACGACGTTAGAATCACAACTGGTAAACGTTTTTATTTATTGCGGTTAAATGCGCATTTAAACAAAGATTTTATAGACATACCTTAGAAATGGGCTATATGTTAGCTTCGTTATTCGATGCAACGTTCTAGAGCAAGTAGAAAACTTGAGGTCATCTGAGGTTACATACAGTTGCTAAGCAACAGGGGTTGTTTTTGTTCGAAATCGGTATCATTCGAAGACATGCTAGGAGGCGGACACACGGGATTTCTCCCAAGAAAATGAACAACGACAACAACAAAAAAATACACATTTCACCAGAAAATAAAGGCACACATTTCACATAAATAGTTTCTTTCAGGTCCTGAGACACCAGCAAGCCAAAAGAGGTAGGATTTTCTTTCTTTCTCCATGAATTGTGCGTTTCTTTTCATCGATTAGTTTCGTTCTGTGTACTGCGCTAGAAGACCGTTAAATTTGAATGCGCTACAACATACATTTCCTAAGCAACATGTCCGGATTTACCTTGTTAAATTTTAATTTGGAGGCGTGCACAACTGCATATCTCTGACGTAAATTGTACAAATACTTTTTAACTATAGGAAATAAAGGCACAGATTTTTGATATCTCGTGATCATGGACATGCTAGGATCGCAAAACTCAGGTGGTACGAGAGATACTAGTAAGCTCTTGTCCTCGGAAAGACTTGAGATTTGTTTGTCCCCCGCCCCTAGCAGCATGCTCTGGAACTGCAGGGGCGTTTGTTTGAAACTGTTTGAGGGAGCACTGGAGGGCAAGGACATTATACAGGACATTACTGTATAATGTCATTGGGGAGGGTAACTGGATCGTCGTCATTTTTTGTATGTAGGTAGCGTAAGTGATGTCGACATATTTAGATGACAATTATGCAAAACAGGATCTAATTTGTATAATTAATTAGGAAATTCTTACTATAAATATGCTGTGTTCCAAAAAGGATTGGAAAATGATACTAATGCCATAGAATACCGAAATCAATTCAGGAAAAAAGAAAATGTGAAGAAATGAAAATTTAGTAGTCTATTACAATTCGCCATACCATACTGTGTGTTTCAACATTTATTTCCACGTAGATTTCATAACGTAGGAAACTTTTTTTGCTAAGATTTTTTTTATCATCGCGCTCGCGTCAGTTTGGGGCTTCCCGGTGGATGTCATCCATACAATCAAATCAACATGGCCTTAGGTGAACTAACCGCCCCATTGAGCTGATTAGTACAGCCCCTTCTTGGCGAGCAGGTTGGACGAAATTTCACGCGCGGATGTGACTCTGTCACAGATCATGTACTTCAGTCTGCAAGCTTGAGGATCTCAAACGTCGTCGTCACAGGTAGGAATATCCGATCCTTCCTGATTTTTCATATGAATGACTTGAATGACTTATAGAAGTTGTCTACTGTCGTTGTCAACAGGCGTTTAAAGCTATATATAAAGTCATTACATGTAGCTACTATTTCGTAAGATGGCCAATTGTCTACAGTTAGAGAAGCCTTCAGGTACTTTATATGGTTTGCAAGTACATCGAATTATGCTCAAAATCTAGTAGAATTTTGTCCTCGGAAAAGTTGATTTGGGGTGGGTCTGTCATGTGTATATTCCGGTGAAACCGTACCTCATCACAGTACATACGACGCAGCTGAGCGAACTACAAATGCTGGTAAAGTAGGTCCAAGGAACTTTAAATAGAACCCAACGTCGTAGATCGCCCCAAATACGACGTACTTGAATGAATTCGAAGTAGGGTCTCCGGCTGTTTAACAACAACATAGTAGGCTAAAGGACTTTTTTTTTATTCTATGAATACAGAATTTCCCGGTGCTTCCCCTATCGTGTCCATGCATACACTTTTTGTGCCTCCAGGGTGTCTAGAACAAGTAAGTTTAGGTGTGGTTAGACATAAAAGAAATGACCCAGAAACAAACTAGATTTGGCAACAAAGAGTCTGCTTTACAAGCATTGTATGCCCTGAGGTGGTCTGAAACTACATCATGAATACAGGAACATAGATGTGATCATGTAATTCTAAATCTTCAGTGACAGTGAGTTAGAACAACTAATAGGAATAAGCCCACTGATTGGGCTGCGTGTGTAATTCTTAAAACCAAGGGTCGTATGAAGTTAACATTGTTGTTTTGGTTTTTCTCTAGCCGCAGTTTGATAAAGAAGAGGCGATCACAACCCAAGGAACCCGGCAGGAAGGAGAAACAGGAACAGTAAATAAGCAACTTCCCCAAAAGAGTAAGTGGCTATAAAAGGAAGTATTGACCCTGGATTATTGAGAGGAAGCGTTGTGTCAGAGAACCATTACTATACAAAGTAAAAATGGCGCTACATGCCACGGTCTGTGCTGTATTTCTGCTAGCCGATCTACTGTCTAGCTTCCAGGTTTATCATGACCTTTTAGTTTTGGGTGAAAATGTGACGGAAATACCGGAGGATGAGCCAGTCAATAGCACGGTGGTGCGGCTGAGAGATTCTCTTGTTGCCGCCAGCCTGGTTAGTTCTGCAGACGACGCCAACGGGACATTTTGGTCAGCCAACGTCAACACGGGGGACGAGTTGGGGACGGTTTGAAGTTCGTGCTGAGGACTTGGCGTTGGTCGTAGCGGCTCCGCTGGACTACAGGTTACACTCGCGGTACAACCTTACGGTGGAGCTGACAAACACCAGGAACAAGAACGTCTTGTACGTGACCCTCGTTATCGTAGTCATAGACGTGTCTGGATACCCGCCATTCTATAACAAACAGTGTGAAACGCCAGTCCTTCCGGGTAAAGATAGGAGCGGCAACTATACTGTATTTACCAGTGATGGTTTTAATGCTTCCATTGATGGAAGGATATTTGGGTTGTACGACGACTATCTTCAGTACCCTTTGCCGAAATACTACGCCGCTAACTTCCTCTTGACAGGCGATTGCTCCTTAAAATATGTCGCTGGTGCACGGGGACTAGGTGGAGACGATGCCATACTCACCTCCATACTCACAGAACAGAATCAAGGTAGAATCGAACTTGCATGCCAAGACCGAGAGTGGAAGTCTAAAGGGAGGATTACTATGTTGGACATTGCTCTCGATAACGACCTGCCTCGGTGGGTATCAAGTGGCAACTTCGAGATGGAAGAAAATTACCGCTATTTCTTTGCTGCGGAGTTGTATGAGTTGTTCACGCCTTCATTTGGGTTTGTATGCGGTGCTAACCTGACTGTCGAGGGAACCAGGACAGGCAGGATTCTGTTTGAGTGGACATATCAATACAACGTGACAGGATGTCCTGAGGGCCGGTACGGTGTGTACTGTGACAAGACCTGTGTTTGTAAGAACGGTGCCCGCTGCCATGGCTTTAACGGTGCGTGTGAGTGCCGCCCGGGCTGGAGAGGGAGGGCCTGCGATATTCCCTGGCCCGAAGTCGCCATCGTAGAGACACCTGGCGATTCAGTCATGAAATACATCGGCACCAATCTGACTTTAACCTGCCTGGCTCCACATATCCACGTGGCAAATATGACATGGGCTTATCAAACAGGACAAAACATAACGACACACAAACTATCGAAGAGGGGGCAGTCCAGAACAGTTCTATCAGCTTTCAACCGATCCTAGAAACAGCTAACGGCAAATATAGCTGTATGGTACAGGCAGAAGATGGTCAGCTTTTCAATACGACATTCATACTGAACGTTACCGAATGCCGACCTAACTATCATGGGGAAGATTGCAGCCAAGTGTGTGACTGTGAGTACGGAGGGACGTGTGACAGGTGGGCGGGGTGTCTGTGTCCTGCGGGCCGTCGCGGAGACAGGTGTCAGCACGCGTGCGCACCTGGCACATTCGGGAGGAACTGCAGTATGAAGTGTAACTGTGAAAACAAGGCTTTGTGTAATCCAGTCAATGGCAGCTGTATTTGTGCTGAAGGACAGTCGGGAAAGTTTTGTCACGAGTGCTCACACGGCACATTCGGGAGGAACTGCAGTATGAAGTGTAACTGTGAAAACAACGCCTTGTGTGATCCTGTCAATGGCAGCTGTATTTGTGCTGAGGGACAGTCGGGCGAGTTTTGCCAGAGCGTTCCTGAGAAGAATCAAGTCGTTGCTGTAGTGTTGGCGTCCGTTATCCCGACTATTGTCATAATCGGCTGCATCGCCACTGGAGTCCTGGTGAAACGGAGTCGCCGACGAAAACAAGAACAGCCAACAGCGGACACAGAAATGGCGACCGTCACAGAACCCCTTTCGTCGTGGGAAGTAAATAAAGAGGACCTTCACTTGGAGCACATGATCGGGGAGGGAGAGTTCGGCCATGTCGTCCGGGCAAGACTGCACGTGCCGGAATTAGGCTACGAGGTCCTGGTCGCCGCTAAAAGTATC